ACAATTTCTTTTTAACGTTGAAAAGTACTAATAAAGTCATAGGTAAATTTTTTTCATTTTTTTGTAATATTCGATAACTATGTTGACAAAATAAATATACTTACAGAGTTTTTTTGTTTCTTTAGTATGATTGTGCATATATTAAAATTTTAAATTAAGATTTTTATATCCTTTCTAAAATTTTTTTCAATTTATCTAATTTTTTTTTTATCATTCACATTTTATTTATTTTAATTGAAATTTTTATTTCTCTCCACTTTTTWTTTTTTTACGTTTTATATTCTTTCTATTTTTCCTTTTTAATCTATTTTTATAATTAGTCTAAACTATTATAAACTTCTTTTTTTTTTCAAATTAGTTTGAACTACAAATGTTTTTACTTACTATTTAGTTATTTAGTTGACATTTGTTTTTCAACCAAACTTTAATTAAAATATGCCACTGTGATTGGTAATCCAATTTGGTGGAAAGTTTACAAAAGAAAAAAAATTCAAATCTAGAACGTGCAGAACGAACCAAACAGTCCGCCTTCAAATTAAAATTTCGAGAAATTAAAGAAATTGAAAAGTGAGAAAAACGGCTGTATATCTTCTAGAATCTTTCCAAGAGGATAGAGAAAGCCGCCCATTCCTCCGGATTGCGAACGATATCMACCAAATCTGAACAGTCTATTTCAAAAACATAACAATTCAATGCTCTTTCCACTATGCATGACATCTCCCAAATGAGAGCTTTCATCTCCGAATGTAGAGGGGATATCCGATGTGTGAGACCTTTCGCACCAAAGAGGATAGTTTCATCGCCTTGAGCACATACCCATCCTACCCCTGAAATAGAATCTATCTTTTTCCAGGAGCCATTAATCTGGCAACGCAATTGCGTTGATGGTTGCACCACGTGATGCGGTTCTGCTCCTGTATTTAGTTGACAATATTTTGTTTGTTTTTCATTTTAATTATTACTTTTTTCTTAATCAGTTTTGAATGTTTACATATGTTATCATTTAATCAATATTAACCACATATTATAATTTTTCTTACATATCATGTTCACGTTGAGTGTAACTTCATGAAAAAAAAAATTCAATTATGTTACCTTTTTGCTAAAACCTTTTGATTTGCTTTCTGTCTTACTGGAAATCTTGTGTTGGTTGGTTGGTGTTTGGATCTAACTTTCAATTGATATGCGAATTCTTTTTTAAAAAATAATAATAATAATTATCAAGTTTGGAGATAGTGTTATTGATATTCGTGATCAACTTCTCTAGACCTCTTTTTATTTTTTTTCCTCTTGAAGTTTTATCTTCAGTGTTTTTGATGATAAAATATTATTTGTATGTTTTGACTTATGGAACAGAGTTTGAGCTATGATCCATAATTATCAAGTCGTGTCTAGAAGAGCAAAGCCGTTGTTGGACTGGAACTTAGAAATGTACTATGGATATTGTTCAACAAACAATGTATATCTAAAATTATATATTATTTGCATTTATTCTGCATAAAACATAATTTTGACCAGTCGTAAAAACGAGTTGAACTATAAAAAAGGGTAGTTTTTTTTTTTTTGAGAAAATGGAGAAAGGTATAGTAGGGTTAAAAAAGCAAAGAACTACAAGTCCATAGACGTTTTTATTATCGATAACAGTTGATGGCAGCTCACTAATACAAAAAGACGATGATTGGTTAATGATAGAACATATAAGTAAACCAAACTAAAATTTAGTTTGTATAACTAACAAAAATCAGATAACAATTTAAATTGAAACATGAATTTATATATGTGAAATTATCTAACTATATTTATCTAGCAGTCAAAATAATATTATTCAAGTGGTTGGTAGTTCAGTG